CGCAGTTCATCTTTGCTTGCATTGTGTACTGTGTGTTCCTGTGTTGCGTATTATCAATTTTTGACCTTTGCTTGTTTCCCGGACCGTTGAGTATTGCATTGTTTGAACCTGTGCGTGTTAATTGGACTCCGATCATCTTTTTATAATGGAAGGAAATAGACGTCAGATATGCATTGTTTGTGGCTGCTCTGTTTTACGCCAGCGTCAACGTCATTTAATAACGCATACCTTGATTCAATCCAGACCTTTTGTTGAAGAATATATACGAAGACATTCTTCGTCCGAGGTAAGGTCTGTTCTGTTTGTTAATGCATAATTACACCTTTTTCATTATAGACGTAGAGTTCGAACGGTATGCGAGACTTTTAAGGTGTGATAGTACTCATCAATACTGACTGATATGATTTTTCAACTGACTTCAAAAAAAGGTTTCTCAATTCGACCGTATATGTTTTTTTTAATGTTTGTTCGCGGATAACTTCGTCGTTTATGAACCGATTTTGATGATTCTTTTTTTATTGTTTTTTTTTTTGTTAAAAATTATTAATGGTTGTAAGTGAAAAACAACAATGAACGTTATTTTTCTCTTCTTTCAGGTGTCATTCGATCAAGTGTTATTCACATGCCACCGATGTTGGCAACGAATTAATACTGCCGAAAGGGCACAGCAGGCTGTTGGAGCTGTCGAAATCGACCATATTGTCAACGAGGATGATAATATACCAGTTCCACTTGCTATACCAGTTAATCAAAGGAACCTCGCTAGAGCATCTAATACAGCAAGTCATTACATATTTAGAGATTGTTTAAATGAGTCAAGACTTAGAATACCCAATAGCAGAAAAGCTCACATGTTGTCTTATTACAATTTCTACATTTCTCCAAGTGCTCGTGTTTGTAATGATGGCGTTGACCACGAACACAGAAAAAGCTGCAACACAACCACTTCTAAACACAGTTCGAAGTCCGCTGTCTAGGGATTTACCCTCTATGCAAATGTTGGTCGCCTACTCAGCATCATCAAACGGTTCCCACATAGATACAGCACCAGTTGTGCGCGGTCTGCTGTACGCTTCTGCTGCTTGCGACGATATGTTCGAACTGGACAGAACCACTAACCACTTTCTGAGACGTGAAAGACTGGAATACCAACCGGTACACGTACAGCACATACACGATTGGCCCGAAAATGACCGACGCCAGGTATTCCTGATGGCCGTGACGCTGCCTGCCTACACCAATCATCTGAAGGGGCATGACGCAGCACTGGCTGGCGCGGGTTGGTCCATACAGGCGATGGACCAGACTTGGTGTGCTGTGCCGGTTTCGACAGATTTAGTCAGTTCCCCTTTTCTTTGGGAATACATTATGTGTTTTTTGGATACGTCCGTGTGGGCAGGCCGCCTTTGTAGGCGCGTGCAGACCCAACACCTGGCGACAAACGACGTTCAATTTAACACACACTACACATTCATACCACACGGCCACAATGTGTCGGTACCTGGACCCAACAAGGTGATGCTGGTACTACTGGACGAGAGTGTGAACGGTAGGAACAGTCACTTGCCCATCCTGAGACCTGAGGGAATGAACGTGTACCCGGGTTCACCATACCTCAACGTGCTGCCCGATGACCTGCTTGGTTACTCTATGAATGCGACAAATGCAATCCATGACCTGATGCACGACTACCAAAATTCAGCGTTGAGAATGTGCCACGCACTGGAGTGGATGGAGTCAAACCTCTGCGTGGACATGGCTTTTCAGACTGCCTTTTCATTGGCGGCGGAGATGTGCAGTGCTGTGCCTGAGTCTCCTACCCTGGAAGTGGGTGCGGACGGGGCTCGGAGGTATACTAATTCACTGAACGGTGCATGGACGATTGGGACGCATAACTTTTCAAACGACAATCCCAGGCACACTACATCCAACATAAACGCGGGGCCATTGGCTAACAGATCTGAGACTTATGCCCGGTTCCTATATTCAGAAAACGATCCGTTTTGCTTACCATCGGTACTCTTCTTAACCAGGCGTAAGTCAAAACCGTTTCTATAAAAAACGTTTCGTAAGCTATGTTACCAGTGACTCGCTACCTACGGATGGGAGGACCACAAACAACGAATAGTTAAGATAAAGTATGGGGATGACAGTTCATAGTGTTTCTATATTATTTTTGAAACGTCAACGAACTGTCAAAGCTACTTGTCGTTAAACATTTTGTTACCGCCCAAATTGCGTCGGTTGCGTGGTAGTATTCTCCAAATTTTGTTTATTAATTAATTGCAATGTCTAGTTCAGACAGTTTAAGTGACCTAGAAGGCTTATCCGACTGGAGTACTTCGGATTCAGACGAAGAAAGTAATCGTAGGAGTTATAAAGTGAGAGTGGACCATTTTAACACTTTAGATTTTTATGAATTCCAAGTAAGGTTTCGACTGGATAAAACATCAGTGCAACAGTTACTAGATGAAATATATCCTTATTTAACAGTGAAGAGCACCAGGTATGTTATTTGCACAACCTTAAACTCACAAAATAATAACACAGTATCATTACAATTTATTGTGCTGTATCTTATTAACTTTCAACTGAGTTACGTTTTATTTTTGTCGCAGAAATCACGGCATCAAGCCTCTTCACCAGCTCCTACTGACTCTAAGGTTTTATGCATTAGGCACGATGCTTTTGTCGGTGGCTGACTTTGCTGGTGTATCTAAGGCATCGGCGTGCCGCATAGTGTACGATGTTAGTTGTGCTATTGCACAATTGTATAACAAGTACATATATATGCAAACTAACACTGAGCAAGATTTTTATGAAATTGCAAGATTTCCTCGGGTTCTTGGTGCACTTGATGGCACACATATTAGAATACAATCTCCTTGTAAGTACTTAATAGCTTTTTTAAATTAAATTTAAGGTTTATATTTGCAATTTTACTGAAAACATTCTCATTTTATGCAGGCTCACACACTGGGGAAGAATTTCGGAATCGAAAAGGCTACTTTTCATTAAATGTACAAGCTGTATGTAATGCCAAGTTATTATTTATGAATGTTGTAGCCCGTTGGCCTGGTTCAGCTCATGATGCCACCATATTTAATAATTCTGAACTTCGAGGTAGGCAGTAATACATTGGTTTTCATTAGACTATAAGCCGAACACCACACTTATGTAATTTACTTCTTCCAGCTCAGTGCGAAAGTGGATTGTACGGCACCAAATGGCTGCTTGCAGATAGTGCATACCCTCTGAAGCCATACCTATTAACACCTTTATTGAACCCTCAAAGTAGAGGTGAACAGCTTTACAATGTAGCTCACATTAGAACAAGAAATTGTATTGAAAGGCACGTAAATAAATCCTGTAATATTTATACTCATCTGAACAATCAACTCATTTGCCCGTATCAAATTATTAGACTGCTTTCATCCATATTATACTAATATCATACTTGATTAGACATTTAAACATACTTCAATTTTATTTGAATATTTATGTGTACAAGCTATACTGAGGTACCTATTTAACAATGCGAAATGTTACATGATAGTATATATTTTTAGATGTTTTGGAGTGTGGAAAAGAAGATTTCCAGTGATAGGCCTGACGATGCGCTTAAGCCTAAATAGAATCCATGCAGTTATCATAGCAACTGCTGTGTTACACAATATATGTAGATTGCATAAACTGGATGATATACCACCAGAAGTGGAAGTTCCTAATGAAGAAGTGCCCATATTAAATAGTATAGAAGAACCCAATAATACATGTACGGAAAGGGCAACACTAATAATGGATTTCTTTAACAAGTGAGTAGTAGTAATCTACACACTTATGACAAACCAATGTCTTTAATTTGAAATGAGGTTGTACAATAATTACATTATCATTTCATTTCTTTCAGTTTATCTTCTCATGGCCAGCCATTTTCTACTGGATAAACCACAGCCGACCACTGTGCTCTACCTTCCTTATCCAAAATGTCGATTTCAAGTGTAATTTGCTTACCTATGAAATAAAGATATTTTGACTTTGACTTTGAAAATGATTTTGCCAGAATGCTATCTTCTCTGCACAACCACCAAATTATGTCCATACCAAAGCAGAAATGAAAGATGCATAATTACAAGAAAAAAACTGTATTATTTAATTATGGCACAAATTAAAACAGTAAAAAAAACATACAAATTAATTATTATTTACTTTCTTACTTAATTCTAATTTTAAAATTTCAATTTCTAATTCTAATTTTTTTGTTTTCATTTCATAATACCTAGTAATTGCTATGTTCCGAGCCTGACGCCCATCATTGTCTGGTTTCTTGCCTAAAAAAATTTTTTACATAAAATGTTACAGTACCTACAAAAAGTTTACTGATTCGGTTGAGCAACTATATACGGGATGCTAGGCTTCAGTGTTTAAAAAATATTAGGCCGCTGTAATGAAAGCATATGACCTCTATATTTCTATTATAATATAATATTATTATTACACACTGATATTCGAATTTGTTACCTCTCTTAAGTGAGATATTAACAATGAATGGACTGATTTTCATACAATTTTAAACATAGATACCTAATTAAGAACTCGTGCAAAAATGTAATATGCTGTACAGTTCTAATCAAAATATCTTAGATGAAGTTGCAGGAAAAAGTGAACATGAAATGTAGTAATTAAAAAGCATAAAACACTTACTTTTTTTTTTCAAGGGTGCTACTTGCGTTGGCATAGGTGTCCCAAAATAAAACTTCTTTCCATCTTTCGTTTCATTTTGAAACAATCGTTTTTTATTTTTTTCAATAGCTAAAATAATAAAATTTAAATGAATTAAATATTCTTTATTGCACATGAAAATACAATGATGACATAACAGGAATTAATATCACAGAGTAAAACAAAGTACTACAGATGACCTTATTGCTAAGTAGCAATTTCTTCCAGGCAACCTTAATTTATATTTCCAAATATGACGCAAGATTGAGAAAGTTATATTATACACTACCTTTGCTGGGAGTTTCAACCAAGTTCTTATCCTCTTTTGGAACGTTGGGTGTGCCTTCATCAATATAAAAAACTTCTTCTATGGCGAGAGAGTCATTACCATCACCCATCATAGTGTCCGCATTGAGCACCACCCCAACACCATCACCACCAAAAGGAACCTCAAATCCAGAGCATGTAGACCCTAGGAGCCCTGATACCTTTTCCAATGTTTCATCAGGTAGAATGAAATCGGGCTTACCACCACCAGTCTGAGAAGTTAAAAAAATTGAATATTGCCTACTCCAATGCAACCAAAATAAATATATCTTTAATACCTATTTCATTTAATTTACCTTCAAGTGATTTAATCTTATTTGTTGTGCTCTCTTACGTGCGGCCTTTTTCAAATTGTCCCATTTTAGCTTCAACTGTTGTTTGGTTCTTGGGACTGAACCACAGCGAGCATTAAAAGCCACCGTTACAGAGTCCCAAGCTTCCTCCTTATGCTTGTTGGTTGATGCGTTAGTTTCTTTACTTATTATAATTGGGCGACTTTGAATAACATCTATTAAGCAAGCAATATCGTCCTTCGACATCGCTTTGGATTTCTGTAACCATAACATGCAATTACAAACAATTTTAACAGTTCATCAAATGGTTATTAATCAGAAGGCTCCGCTCGCATGTGCTTGGCAAACCCTAAATGATGTTGCAGAATAACGGACTTGTTTTCTTGTACCTACTCTATGTGAATTCACAAGAATAGCACTAAGTATACGTTATTTGCTATGTAATACATCGTAATAATTTTAGTGAGTTTATACATTATATTGTTAATTTCTTTATAATTAAGGATGTAATGTGGATTTAATGGGTGGTGTAACATTCTAAATAAATAATTATAATCAAACAAGTAACTTACCGGAGTAGCATCCATAATAATTACACTTTTATTTTTTGAATATGTTTAACACTGCTCTTTAGTTCGATGTTGTTTTTAAATTCTTTCCGCCAAGCAAATCGCTGTTTGACAAACGTAGTGACGCGACTGCGTTTTGTTTCCTCACCGGTGTCATGTCAAACCTCTTCTAGATCATAATCAATACGTAAAATTGAGTAATACACCACTTTTTCAACTGTTTGTTTGAGTTTTTTTGTAAATGTAGAATAATATTATAGTATATTCTTTTTTAATAAATATCGGCTAAAATATGGTTTTTGGAATAACGAAACGTAGAGAGAATCTGTGAGGTCCATTGGTAAGCGGATAACCGACGACCATCTATCGCAGGTAGTCGGGTCAAAAACAATGTGAAACACATGTTGACGAATGGTTATTGTTATAGTCGTCACAAAATAATAGATCATATTTGACAGCTAAACCAGTCGATAGTATGTAACTTTGAATGCAATCAACGAAACAGTAAATAAGCAATTAATAACTTATTGGGTTTTAAAAAAATACATAAATTTTATTGAAGGTCTATACGTTATGAAAGAAACATATTTCAAGTATTATTTTCGCAGGAATTCCAAAATAAAATCCAATTTTGAGTTACTCCGAAACGTCTTATAAACAGTTACATCTTCAGTCTAATTCTTTTTAATAATAGTGTTGTAACCAATAAGCGCCGACTATCATCGAGTCAAATCGGTTTCACTTTAAAAAAAATGACTTATTTAATTACTAAAGTCGTCACAAAATAATAGATCATATTTGACAGCTAAACCAGTCGATAGTATGTAACGTTGAATGCAATCAACGAAACAGTAAATAAGCAATTAATAACTTATTGGGTTTTAAAAAAATACATAAATTTTATTGAAGGTCTATACATTATGAAAGAAACATATTTCAAGTATTATTTTCGCAGGAATTCCAAAATAAAATCCAATTTTGGGTTACTCCGAAACGTCTTATAAACAGTTACATCTTCAGTCTACAAAGAAATAATTCTTTTTAATAATAATGTTGTAACCAATACGCGCCGACTATCATCGAGTCAAATCGGTTTCACTTAAAAAAATGACTTATTTAATTACAAAAACAAAAATTTTAAAGTGCTTACAAAATTAGACTGAGTATACTAGTATTTATAGTAGACAGAACCGTAAAGTCAGATTTGTATTTCCTTTTCTTTATCGCAAATTCTGAAACGGCAACACTGATGTCGATTTAGCGTCACTCTGCATCGGCGCCCGCGCAGTCTTTCGCCGTCTTGGAAGTTGACTGTACGCTTGGTTATTCGTGGTGTTTTTTCTTGTGACTCGGCTGTGCTTTTGGACTACTTCTATTTTCAATCTCGTTGACCTTGGCTTGGATATTTTGGACTTGATTCTGTGTGAACTCTTTTTCAACATGTCGAAAAGAGGACGTGCTTTAAATAGCCAGACTCGCGAACTGGTTGTGAAATTACACGACTATTTCGAAAGGGAGTCACTTAATGGTGGACCTCTATTACCAGTGACACAAGTGCAAAATCGCGTCGCAAGTGCACTTGGAATCGGCAAAAGAACGGTACACACCATCATACAAGAAAAATATGGGCCTTCCGGCTCTCAAGAAAACGTATTACATACGCCTAGAAAGAGGAAGAAAAGCAAGCCTGTAACAGGTATCGACACGTTCGATGCAGACGCTATTCGTAACCATGTTTATACATATTATACTAGACACGAGTACCCTACTGTGAGTAAATTGTTGGTATCACTTCGAGAGCTTGGCTTATTTACTGGGAGTGCTACCTCACTGATTACAATTTTGAAAAAAATTGGTTTTAAATACAAGAAGTCTGACAAAAGAAATATTATGATGGAAAGACATGATTTAATATTACAAAGAGTTTCATTTTTGAGAGAAATGAATAAAATTACAAATTGGGATAATGTTGTGTTTATCGATGAGACTTGGTTGAACTCAAACCACACAGTACCACAATCATGGACCGACGACACTAAAGCATCCAGCTCGAAAGTGCCAATGGGAAAAGGTGGTCGCCTCATAATTTGCCATGCTGGATCAGCCGGGGGAGGTTTCGTTAATAATGCTTTACTAGCATTTGAATCAAAAAGTACAAAAGAATATCACGAAGAAATGGACGCAAACAAATTTAAAGAGTGGTTTAAAACTTTACTTCAGAACCTCCCCGAACAATGTACAATAATTATGGACAATGCATCGTATCATTCGGTTCAAATAGATCGAGCGCCGACTCAGGCAAATAAAAAGGCTGATTTGGTGGCATGGCTACAGAGGAATGGTGTCGAAGCTGACATGGAGCTATTGAAAGTGGAATTGTTAAGATTAGTGCGAGAGCATAGACCTACAAAACTTAGGTATGAAATTGATGAATTGGCACTTGAGCATGGACATAAAATTATAAGGACACCGCCGTACCACTGTCAATACAATGCTATTGAGTTGATTTGGGCTCAAATTAAAGGTTAATATTTTTGCATTTAATACTGTTATTTTAAATTCGTATATATTAAGACTTATTTTGTACTAGTAGCATATTTTAATAAAGTACAAATGTAAAGAGGTAACATATAAACTTTCGAATTTGTAATATCACTGTGAAGGAACATTACTATTTTACAACAGTGTTTTTTTTTTACAGGCTACGCAGGACGTAATAATACTAAGCCACCGTTCTCCACAAAAAAAATGATGACTTTATTAAAGGAAGCATGTACTAAAGTAACAAAGGAAGACTGGAGAAAGGTGGTGGAAAAAACTAGAAAACTAATAAAAGAAGATTTTGACAGAGATGTTAATATTGATAATTTAATTGAAAACGAGTTAATTATATGGACTGGTGAAACTAGCTCAACAGATGGTTTTGGTTCATCTTCCGATGACGTTGATAAATAAAAAATTCCAATAAGGAGGTCTTTTGTTTTACTTCAGAATTTTGTTATTTACGTACAGGTTATCCTCGTGAACTATGCTAATGTATAACTACAATACAACAACAAGTACAGGTTGCCGTTGTGCTCACTTAAAATACTTACTTATTATTTCTATTAAACTGTATAACGTTTAAATAAATGTTGATTGATATATCTAGAACTGAAAAGCAATGAACAGAAAAATAACCTAAACGATTACAAACTCCTAAAATTTTTAATCGATTTCTCGTGAGAATCGTTTAAACTGGTTACCGATATTGCAGTTCACATCACTATTTACGTTGCGATGACATGTGTCAAATATGATCTATTATTTTGTGACGACTATAATTGCAAAATTTTGGACCAACAACAATTGCACGAAGTACATCATTTGAAAACACATCACTCCAACATTGAAAATCGAAAACAAACTGCGAGAATTACAATTTTACTGATGACTATCTAAAATTAGGTAGGTATACAAACTGATTCGACACAAAAGTAAAATAAATGTAGAATGAGATATTTAATAACTGAAAACAGATATGCACTACAGCGTGTAGATATGACTCAAGCTCATTATTGGCAAATATTGTTGATTAAGAACCACGAGGCCTACAGCTGAGACACAACAAAAGAATGTCAAAGAGAACGTTTTGTAATCACAATAGTTTCGACTAAATCCGTTCAGAATATATAACAGACCATATACAGACAATAATTTTCGATCCAACAACGATCGAAAATAACTAGAAAGAAACAAATTAAGTCACCGAAATTAAAATCAAACCACACAGCTTGGCCACAACAAAATTCCAACCACAAACTAAATACAAGAAATTCCAACGAATATAATATTTTTTTTCTTCTTTCCATAAAGGAAAAGGCAAAGGTTTTACACCATACAGCCAAGTCTTAGTACATTATTCTTTTTTGGACATGAAGTTTAATTATGTTTCTGTAAATATGGCCGCCACAAAGAGGATAGGCAAATTGAGGCGGCGTGCTTGGATTGACTCGGGATTCCTTGAAACGGGCCGATATGGGTATTTTAGTTCGAGATTCGTATAATTTCGCGTTTCAATCTTCGATTAAGGCACAATAGCACTATCCTATTCCACTTTAAACTAGATTTCACAAAATAATTGAAAGTCAAAACAAAAACGACACTTTTCCCTCCAAAAGGTACAGAGCGAATCCAAAATTCCAACGACAAAATATTGACAAGACTTGCGCCTAGAGGTTGGTGATAAATAACGTCTCGATGAAAAAATCACGATGATCCGCCGTCAAATAGTATCACCGTGACTCGTTCCGAAAGAACGACGTTCCAAAGTCACATAGGTGTTCCTCCGTTCCAATAGCTATCCCCCTCACTCACATCACGACATACGTATTTGATACAATGCGCGATCTCCGTTCCGTGGTGACTGAGCGCGCCACTCGTTGTAGTTCTCTTCAAATAGGGCCATTTCGGCGATGGGAGTGAATGAAATAAGATGACTTTCTTTGCTCACTCACAAGAGTCGTAGGTGCTTATTACTACTAAAAAGGGCGGATGAAAAAAATCTGCAGCAGTTATTATAAACCTATTTATGAACAAAGTAAAATATTTTTGTATATTTGTTTTATTATAGGAAGAGTTGGTATTTTATATTTATGTATAATCTACTTTGTGTATTCTACTAGAAATATAACTACATTACACTTTATTGCTATT